TTTTTACATTTGCTTTATTATCAGTTTATTCGTCATTATTATCTCTAGTTGAACTGCTAGTTAATGTCTTCTTTAACCCCTTACTGATGGGTGAATAAACTAAAAAAAGACTATGCTCTGGAGATTAATGGCAACGAGGTGACTTTGAGTGCAGGAGTTTGGTGCATCAAGCTGAACCCCTGGCCTGTAGTGCTTTGGCGTGTTGCCGCAGCGTACGGCCGTACTCCATAGATCAATGTTATGACACCTCAGTGCGTGACCTGTCGGCAAGGGGTTAAGTGGAGTTCTTACTATGCTTAGCAAGGAAGCTTCAACACAATTACTAATTATTGTCATATGATGAAAATTGTTATATGTAGTTTTTCTGTCTTCAAAATATGGTATTATGTACATAGACTTTATTTTAAGGGCTAAGGGGACCATCTCCACTATAAATGGCCGAAATCAATAACATATACATTTCTGTAAAGTTTCACCCCCCAGAAATATCCACTAGGCTTGCTAAATCCAACTGATCATGTTGATCATTATGAGTTCACAATTATGTAAACTTAGATACATTTACAAGGCTTGGAAGTGTTTACCAATTTACTTTAGATTATGAATTTTGGTAATTATTCTAAAAGAGATATATTACATAGCTCTGTTTGTATGCCTCCCCACACCCTTTGTACAGGCTTTATGTCAATAAATATTATTTTTTTAAGTATTATTATTATTTATTTCTAAAATTGTAAGGTAGATTGAAAAATGGGGCACAGTATTGACTGAAAATGTGACTAGCCTCCATCAGCCTGGAGCAGACTATCACTAACAAGGCAACAGTCTCAGAAAACTTGATAGCTCCTTGATGTCTGGTGCTGGGTTACATGGGCTTCCAAGAACCATTTTCTCTTTCCTGCTACAATAAATCCATGAATTCATGCATGTGTGTATGCCTGCATATGTGTGTCCATGATTACTTTATATATATATATATATATATATATATATATATATATATATATATATATATATATATATATATATATATTTTTATGTATATATATACTTTTTAGATTTATTTGTTTTTGCTTTGAAACAATGTTCTCATATAAATGATAGTGCAAGAAGCAGGCTCCAGGTATATATAGCACAAAAAGATGTTTTGGGCAAAGACCACATCAGTATAATATGATGGAAGACAAGACTGAATTAAAATGAAGCTTGATATCAAGGCCTGGGAAAGCATATTCATCAATGCTCAGCATTCAGAGTTAAGAAAAGTTAGAACCAATAGGATTCATTTGTTGCCCTTTAAGAGATTTGCCAGTGCTTAATGAAAAAAAAAAAATCTTATATTATAGCAAACACAGATCTAAACTGAAAGAAAAGGGGCTCTCCTCTGACCTTGGTAAGCATCTCTGATATTTAGGAAACAAAAACAAGATTTTATATTAAAAATGGTTCTTAAAATGATTTCTCCTAGACCACACATTGCTTTTATTATTTACTTCTCTCATCATTATTCTTATACTATTTGACCGATTAAAGAAAAGATGATCTTTCTCAGAGGGGATAGAAAAAGAGAGTGCATGATAGGTCTTGCTCAAAATGATAGAAGATTTATCACAGAATGGAGATGGTCCCCATTAAATAAAGATTTTTGTTATCTTATTCCTTCAGAATACTTAATAAAGAACAAAACACATTTCAGACTGATTGTACATTTGGGTGAATACGAAAATATATCTTTGGACTTAGATCTCGCTAACTAGGAATCTCTCAAAAAAACTGAAGCTGAAAAACCAACATTATAATGGTTTAACAGAGGACATGCAACACAGTTTCTGTAATAAAAGAAACAAATCCCTATCATTTTGAGGTAAAAC